CAGAGTTGATATTCAAGATGCTGCTGGAAAGGGAAATAGAGAAACTTGTAAGTCTAATAGTTTTTCTAATGTAATCTCCTTGAGCAAATTTCAATACAAGTATAACTTTTTCATAGATTGTCCAACGAGGAGCAGAAAATTGTTAATCACTGCAGAGTTAAAATATCTGTCGATGGTGCATCTATTAGTCTCGCTCAAGTAATCTATTCGTGTGTTCCTTCTCAATTCTTCCTGAAAATCAGAAGAAAGAAAAGAAGAGAGAACATCCCCTAGTCAAGTTGGAGGAAAGTATAAATTTGTGTAAAAATCAAAAGATATAAAAATTAAAAACTCTAAATTATCATTCATACTTGAGTGATTTCCTAATTACTTTTCTGTTTTGTCAACAGGCTAAGCAAGCTTCCCGTCCTGACAGAACACGAAAGAGAAACAACAACTTCATGTGTTTGAAAAAGGACAATCTCAAGTTCTTGGATGTGACCAACTTCCTCGCACCAAGGTTCAGTTACGACAAGTTTCTCAAATCCTATAAATGCCCTCAAACTAAAGGTTGGTAATCATGACTTTTTAAGTGTCGTGTCATTAACGATTTCCTAATATTAAACTACGGTTTTTTAAATATTTTTTTAGGTTTCTTCCCCTATGAGTAGATGAATTCCCTGGACAACCTCGACTACCCAACTTTGCCACCCCATGATGCTTTCTACTCCTCCCTCACCAACAGTAATATCACCCAAGGAGATTATCAGTATTGCCATCGAGTCTAGCAAGAGAATGAAATGAAAGTTTTCGCGTCCTCCTGGTTTGGTGTAACGATCTGGATGTCCAACCCCGCTGCGAGGCTCTGGAGAAGATGTGTGCGTTCTGGAAAGACAAGGAAATTGACATGCTGAGACAAGGTATTCCCATCCCTGGTGTGACGCTGATGACACTGACCTATTTCTTCATGACTTTTGAAATTGACATCTTCTCCTTGTTTGATGAAAAACACGAAGATCTGTACTATCTGTTCAAAAAGAATATGGTGAGTGGACCAAGCATCATCTTCCACCTACCACGAGAAGGAAAAGACCAAGATCAGAGAAGTGGAGATGACATGTCAAGTTAAAGAAGTCAAAGTGTGTCAAAAGACCATGGGGTATGACGCTAATGCTCTCTACCTCTAGGCCATCATCCAAAATATGCCAACTGGGGCATTTACGAGAATACGAGAAGAAACAGGGTTTAAGAATGAAAGTTCAGTCAAGATGGCGACGGAGTGGTTAGAGTGGGAAGCCAAAAAAAGGGGTTACAGAAGACTGCCTGTGGATGGGTTTCATGGTAAGGAAAGCAAATTCTGTATCCATAAAATTGGGCTTCCTGTGATATCTAAATAAGTAAGTACATTGCATTTCCTGTAGATTTTTTTTAAAATATTGATTGTTATTCCTCCTAGTTCGTTTCTGGCACGGCCATGACTATCATTTAACCAAATAAAAAGAAGTGAACGAAAGGAAACCCTGGCAAATACTGACCAAAGGTTTTGAGCTTACTATTCACAGGAGATGGGAGTCTAGATTCATGGAGAGCTTCAGGCTTGTCGGGCTAGGACGATTCAAAGTCGTACGGGAATTTCAAGGTTTCTATTATATTGATACTAAATAACCCATATACTCATCATTGACGTCTAAAAACATTGTTTTTTCTCTTTAGACAGAATGAAGCGAAGCACAATAGCCAGACAATGAATCTATCATGTCTTTTTACTTCCTACTATGCTCTCGTGTCAAATAAAAAGGAATCAGATCAATTATTTTTATTTACGCAGAAAAAGTTACATTTTTTAAAAACTAGTACGCTTTCAAAATGTCAAATGAACAACAACAAAAAACCAGGTATATGTTAGCACTATTTTAAGATGTGTGTCCGCTCTTTCAGATTTTGTATTCGTATATTGGATTTGTAGTTTCATTACTCAAATGTTCTTTTAAGAAGATTAGTTTTGAACACCGTGGCCATGGGAAACACTTCACAGCTTTCTACATCATTTCGCCTATCTACATTTGCAAGCCCACAACATTTTACTTGACAAACTTGTAGTTCAACGTAAACAGCTCACCTTAAGTGACATCCTGCGTGTGGCTGGAGACACGTGGGCAAAACAGAAAGGGTCAAAAATTCTCACATTCCTCAATTCCAAGGAAGAAAAGTGTTAAAAAAGTAAGTATTCAATCAGTTGTTTAAAAATCATCGTGCTACTCTATATTAAGGTATTAGGATACGAAAAATGACGAATTGCTCGAAAAATGACGAATTGCTCGGGAAAAAMATTTTCTTTAATTTCGTAAATACCATGGTAAACTACTCAACTGTCAATCAAAGTTTACAACACGTCTAGACTTTCTAGTGGAACCGCAAAATAAAACTCATCGCTGTTAACCCGTTGTAAAGTCTTGTCTTAAAAACAGTGTTGTAACAACGCTGTAAAGCTTTAGTGGAACCCCAGCCAGTATCGTGCACGTGATGAACCGATCCCTGCCATTCCTATCCTTGACATAAATCAGGACAAGCTCAATGAAATCTTGCTTTTGGCAAGAGATATCACTTTAGCAATACAAAAACGAGCAAATTGAGTCAGTCTCCTTTACCGAAACTGTGTAGAAATTCACAAGTGACTTCATTACTTAGTTTTACCAAAACAAGTATTGTTATATTGTATTCCTTAAGTACTTAAATTAGTTCAATAATTAAAAATTAAAACTTGTCTTGCATTTTCAATTGCTAATCGTTGACAATTCAAACTCTCACATGCAAATGTTGTTAAATTTCATTTTGATATCATTGTTACTGTGACAGTGTAGTGCTAAAAACTATGACCAGAGTAAAAGTATTACTTCATGTCTGTCTGGTAGGTAGGATTCAACCTGCAATGTTTTATGATAGTCTACACATGGAAGCAAGTGATTGCACTATTTATTTTCAGTATTATATAAGTATGTTACCTATAACCTCATCCAAATCAGGACGAATTCTCTGTTGGATTTAAAGATGCCTTCCGGTAGTTATTTTGAATTTTAATAAATTTGATAAATGGTATTTATGATGCACACTTTTAGTTGTTTGTTCTCTAAAAACGTCAGTTTATCAGAATTTTTTATTACCGTCTTTTTGCTTTCTGCCTACATGATACACATACAACCTCTTCGATTTTCCTTCTAAGCATCGTAAGATAAATATCTCCCACTCCCCTCAAAAGTCAAATGCATCAACCCTAACATAAATTAATTGCAAAGTTCAAGGAAGAGCCCGAGCTCACGCAGCACTGCGTCTAGTTAATACAAAAATTGTGTTACAAAACAATATACACTTGTAACAGTACTGCTCCAAACCAATCACATTTGAGTATTTTTTTATGTATATTCAATAATGCTATAATACGTGTGTAATCGTAACATCCACATAATCTATAACCGATGCTATAAATACTATATGTTCAAAATGCAAAAGTTCTTTTATTCAGATTTACATTTCCATTATTGGTAGGTTTTTTGTTAAACATCAATGCTATAAGTTTATGCACTATTTTACAGGTCGACAAATTTACAGTTGAAAGATTGAAAGTGAGTTCCAGTTCATCTGAAACAAACAGCGAGCAAGTATTAATCGCCGACAGTGATGTAGGGGACTCCCACATACTTCCTACCTGTGGAACAGATACAGATGATAATGAACCTCAAACTGAAGAAGGTATGTATACTATCTGGATGGGTGAAAGAGAAAGAGAAAGCGAATTAAAGCAAAAGCAAATTTGTTAATGTTAAGCTAGTTGGATTTTAATTATAATTTTAGTGACATTGTGATAATTGATAATAAGAATTATGATAAAATAAGTTAATGTTTTAATAGACTGATCAAAGCCGTTTGTCGAGTTTGATTCTGTTCCGCCAATCAAACAAGGTGGGCGGGACTTGTCTCGAATTGGGGTCGAGACTACATGCTTTTGTAGGTCAAGCGAGGGAAAGTCAAGTAGAAAATGGAGAAGGAAAGAGTTGGAATTAAGCTCCCAGACACTGAAGAAACGCAAATCTGGGATGCAGACACTGATGAGGTATATTAGACGTTATTCTAAAAATGTTTTTAACTAGTTATATACGCATTTTTGTGGTGTCTGTGACGAATTATAAATGCCATGCCAATCGGCATAAATGGCAAAAACAATAGTTCAGAGAAGTTGCAATCTACCTCCAAACAAAAAGTGGAAAAGTAAGTAGAGAACAATTCACAGCATTCATATTGCCGTAAAAATGGCCTTTGCAATTCTTCGAGACGCTTTTATCATTCATGTGCCTGTTGTCGAATTTGTTATTGAAACTATAACCTCAATGAAACCAAAATACCAGGATTTTGTGAACACTATCCATTACCCCCAGTTGAAGAAATTGCAGCAAGGTGTGCTGCAGCTACAATTACTGCTAAAGGAAACAGTTTGCCACTGGGATGAGAAGCAAGAGAAAAGCTTCCCAGCAATCAAGAGGGCAGCCCCAGTACTGGCACATTATAATTCGGCTGAAAAACTCACATCACAAGTAGATGCAAGTTTAACAGGATTGCGAGCAGTACTAATCCAAAATGATCACCCTGTAGCATATGCTTCAAAATCACTTACACCAATCAGTAGCGATCTTACTCTCAACTAGTGAAAGAAACGTTTGTTCGTTGTCTTTGGTTTCGCCAAATTTTACATTGTTGATTTCTATACCATTATTTCAGTTGCTTGGAATTATTTGTATTTGTATATCATTTTCATAATCTATAAACATATTTGGAAATAAGTAATTAACATTTGTAAGATGATAAACCACTGTAAATTTTAATATATAAACTTTTGAGTATTATGTTGTTTGCAAAGCGCTATAAACATATATTGATAATAGCGCTATAACAAATGACCTTATTCAAGCTAGATCAGGAAAGCTACATTGAAATTAACTTCATTTTTCTTAACAAAGCTGTTAAGAATCTCATATATTACTCAGCCCATTGCCTAATTTCTTTACGCCCGCGCCTGTAGCCTTAAGCGCGGATAGGATAACTCCTACTACGCTCGAAATAGCAACCGCAAATGCCAGCGGAATACCATACTTCAAAAGAGCTCTTTTTACCTTTTCCTTGGTGGTAAGCCCCAGCTCCTTTTCCAGTTTTTCCTTTTGAGCTCGTAATTCCGCAAGGCGTATTTCAAGTGTTTCTACTTCCTTTTGGGCTGCCTCCCTTTCTTCCTCGGTACGAGTTTGGTCCGCAATTACTTCTTGCTGCCGCTCTATTTGCCCCTCTAGGTCTTCGATGGCCTGATCTCTTTGCCGAAGTTGCTCTTCCATGGTGTTAATTTCGGCAACCAACCGTCGCCGTTCCACTAAAGAGCCGGCTATGGTAGTTTGTAAGTCATTAGCATCTTCGCTTCTTAAGTCCAACTCTTGCAGGGCGAGGTTAAGAGCCTTTTGTGCTTGATTCCTTTCACGCCGAATTCGGGTTCTTTGGTCTACCAGCTCACTTATTTCTTGATTTTTAAATTCGACTTCCCTCCTATGTGCGTCGGCAAGCCATTGGTTTTGCTTCATGTATTCTTCCTCCCTTTCTTCCAACGTTTCTCGCAGCGCCTCAACGGAGGCGCCTAAGCCTTTAGCCTCCTCCAGGTCCCTTTGCGCTTTATCCCTTTCCCGCAGGGCTTTATCCAACTGGTTTCTCATTTCCATCATTCTTTCGTTACCGAACTTTTTTTCAGCATCGACAATTAGCTGAGTTTGCTTTGCGTATTCTTCCTCCCTTTCTTTTAACTTTTTTTGCAGCTCCTCAGCGCGTTTTTCTAGCGCGACCCTTTCATTTAAGGTCTCCAGCCGCTCTAAAGCGCTTCGGGTGGCCTCTTGAAAGCCCCTTAGTCTTGCCACGTTGACCTTGACCGAGCCATTTTCGTCGAAAAGGAGCTGTGGTTTCGTCCAGCGGTCTTTGTCGGGATACCTCAGGTCTTGGACGCTTATGAGGACTTTGTTTCCACTCTCTGTGAGCTTTATGCCGTCGGCATCGAGGTGGGAATAGCGCTGCGCTAGCTCTTGCTTTGCCCACTCTACGGTTTCCCGCGCGGTTG